TGGCAATTCTCATCAGTGTTTCAGTTGTCCTGTTCATGCCTGATTTAGTATTTCAACTCAAAGGAAGCAGCGACTACACAAGATTTCGTTGGTCTTTCACGACTATGTTTTTAAGCTCGTTTTTTAACCCTTGTGTTTATGTTTGGAGATGTGAAAAGTTCCGACTAGCGTTGTACAAGACATTTGGTTTCTCTCGAAGTGGATCAGACAAAAATTTTTCTTGGATCAAAGGCATGAGTGATCGAAAGAAAGCATTTGGGGTTGAAAATTCTCGTGTTGGTATAGTTACAGACAGTAGCGTCAGGGTTATAAATATAGAAACGTTGAACAACGAAATTGTTTTACCAAACTATACCTTAAATGTTTTAAAGGTATGAGGAAATTGTCGTTTCGGCGTAATGTTAATACATTTTATTCCTTATTTACTTTAAAAATGTGTGAAGTCACCTAATTGTTCTTGGGGGCTATGCACTTATCACGAAACCATTAGAATAGAGACATTCTAGATTAACATGTCTGTCGGAGCTTTGTTTTAGCCGCGCAATAAAAAAAAGAAGAAACAGTTTTAGTGAGAAAAGCTTAATAGACTCACGGCTGTCCCATCTCTTGACGTTAATGGAAGTGGAAGTGAGATATGGAGTAGAAAATTTATATAACACTAGATTTTTTCCTTTTCGTGCCAAGTCCAGCTGTCAGAATGGCTATGACACCGACAAATAAATTACATTACCGTAGGTATGACTCAACGCGGCGCATCGAGTAGACTCGTGCTCGAAACATTAAGAAAGCGATATATAAAACCGCCTCCGTGCATATAATAAATTTTAAACAACTTTGGGTTTATGCTTAGGGCATGGACACGTGAATAAACTGAAAATTTCTGAAATTTAAACAAAGGCCTGGTGAATAAGGCAACGTTGCTCTTAAAATAGACTACGGAGAGCGTTTAGTTGAAAAAATACGGCCTGTGTGTAAACGCCTGCTTACTTCCCTGGCTTTACGTGGAAAAACGATCACAGGTAGCCCTAGCTAAAGAGTGCGAATTCTCAGTTTGCATAACATTATTCTATAAGGGTTTGTCTTTGGATTCGTCCGAGGGCTATTTGGGACCACAGGTAGCCCAAGCTAACGAGCGTGAATTTTTTTTGCATAACATTATGTTATAAGGGTTTATTTGTGTGGATTCTTCCTAGCGCTATTCAGGAGTCAAAACAGTAATAAAAGGGTAGCAGATTTTCTTACCTTGTTTTCATGTATTATTTATAACGTTTTCCTATTATGTGAGGTCGTTTCAGAGCAGTTTCGGCGACAAACTCACTGCATTATGCCTACTTACCACTTACCAGTGTCCATACAGCAACCTCTCTGTTATCGCTCCATGGGATCAGTATACGTTCCTAGGAAACTGCCCACCTACCCCTCCCCTAAGCCAACATTTTGCCCTAAGTCAGAAGTAAGTGTTAATGTTGGCTTAGGGGAGGGGTAGGTGGGCAGTTTCCAAGTGTAAGTTTCCTTGTGGAATCCGTGATCCTGGGCATTGGAATCCGTGATTAGTTTTAATGAATCCGAAAATCCTGAAACCGCTGATGATTGGAATGTGGAATCCAGTACCTGGAATCCGGAACCCACAGCTTGAAATCCAGAATCCTGGACTCTCTTGAATTACTTTACAAGAGGCGACTGTTAAGTTGGCTCTGAATATAGCAACTTCTTACAACCCTCATCTTTAAAACATACAGTCTAACCTCTTCTAATAACCACCTCTGTACAATGGCCACTTTTTTTTCGTCCCGGCGGACAAAAAATTCATACATTGAGTCTTGTTTAATACCTCTCTACAACGGTCACCTCTTTACAACTGCTACTTTCTTCTACCCCCAAGATGGCCGTTGTAGAGAGGTTCAACTGTAGACTATTCTATGTAAGTGGCGAATCCAGGGGAGGGGCCTGGGGGGGGGGGCCGCCCCCTTATTTTTAGATCAAACAGAGGCCCGAAGGAAATTTTTTTTGAGACCGTGCCCCCCCCCCACCACC